GACACAAGTACCATAATTCTTAAACCAAAAAATATTGTCCAAACCGCTTCCAAAACTAAGTCTGATATCATCACAAAAATAAACCCAGCTAATTCCAATCTTGAAATAACAGATGTTCGTACTGTGAAAAATGGTGGTATACTACTAAAATGTCGTAATCCTGAAGAACTAACTAAACTGACCCAGGATGATGAATTTAAAGGATCGTACGATATTCGTGATTTTAAAACACCCTTACCCCGTTTACGAATTGCTGGAATCTCAGAGGATATAAATGAAGACAGTATCATATCATTTCTAACCAAACAAAACAAACACATTTTCACAAGCTCTTCTCAATGTAAGCTGCTTAAATACTATCCGTTAAAAAACAGAAAAAACATATTAAAAATTATTATACAAGTTGATATTGAAACTTACAAGACAGCACTTGACATTGGACACTGCTTAATAGGATTAGATGGTTGCAATATCTTTGATGCTATTGAGGTATTTCGCTGTTATAATTGTAATGGTTTAGGCCATGAAAAGAAAGCCTGTAAAAATAATCTTTCTTGTCCACGTTGCGGAGACAAACATCATATTAAAGAATGTAAAGCAGAAAAATTTAATTGCGTGAACTGTTGTAGCGGTCGTGATAAAAACAATTTAACTGAGGATGAAGTTAGCCATGCTACATGGGATTATAACAAATGCATGTTTTATAAGCAATATGTCACTAAAGTCAGGACAGATCTCTTCGGAGATTTTTGTAAATAGCAATCATTGTCACATCCCTCTCCAAATATAAACGCTTTAAACTCACCTGACAAACAAGTAACAAATCAAATAAATGTATATTATCAAAATGTGAGGTGGTTAAATACCAAAACAACGGAAACATTAATCAATTTAACTTCCATGACGCAGTTCGATCTTATAATTCTTACAGAAACATGGCTCAGTGCTAATGTGGGCAGTGGTAAGATTTTTTATTTAGGCAGATATGATGTTTTTCGGAAAGATCGTGATTTCGTTTCTACACAGACCTCCAGAGGAGGTGGGGTTCTAACTGCTGTTTCTAAAACCTTTCAGACTGTTGAGTTAGACCCCTTAGCATTACGTCAATATTTCCGGGCATTAAGTCACATAGACCTGTTAATTATCAAAGCTAAAATTACATCTTTATGTATATAATTACCGTATACATTCCCCCCTCTGCCTCAGTTGATGACTACACTCTCCTATTCGATTCTCTCATGTCTATCGACAAATTATATAATACTCGGTGATTTTAACATACCAGAGTTTGTAGATTTAGATACGTCGTTCCGCAGAAATAATATTATGTCAGCCTGCCATAGCTTTTCAAATTTTTTCGGCTTGAATCAGTTAAATCAAGAACTTAATGCTAAGGCTCGTTTATTAGATCTAGTTTTTTCTACTGACGACGGTATCGTTAAACGAGCTGTTGATTTATTAGTGCCTGAAGATTCTCATCATCCAGCCCTTATTCATACGATCTCTGGTTGTAGCAAAAGAAATAACTGTCTTCCAATTAAAACAGGTGGGGAACTAAACTTCAGAAAAGCTAACTTTCAACTTCTTTATCAGAAAATATCTAAATTAGAGTTTTCTTCTCTGGAATCTTTCACAAGTGTCGACGAAGCGGTTGAATCCTTTTACAATATGCTATATAACATCTTTTCAGGCTGCGTTCCACGGAAATTACAATCTTCTCGGCAGTATCCAGTATGGTTTAACAAGGAAATTATCAGTACCTTGAAACTGAAACACAAACTTTGGACATGTTTTAAAAAAGATGGTTCACTTAACTCTTATGAAACCTTTAAAACGGTCCGTCTTAAAGTAAAAACTCTAAAAACCATGATTGAGAAGGCCTATAAGACCTATATTCAAAATACCGTGGAAGATATAAAGATCAATCCAAAAAACTTCTGGAATTTTGTGAAACAAAAAAATCGTCAATGTAATTCAATCCCATCGGTAATGCGTTATGGCGATAGTGAAATGGTGAGCCCGAATGATATAGTGAATGCATTCTCAGACTATTTCAGTAAATCTTTTTTGGACATCAGTTGCAATACTTCACCTGCCCATATACATCAAACAAACAACGTTAGTAATACTGTGCATGTTTTTGAAGTGAGCGAAAGAAAGGTAACCAAAGCAATAAAACATCTAAAGGTCTCTCCTACGGCAGGTCCTGATTCTATTCCTTCGTTTCTGATGAAAGATTGTGCCACGATCCTATGCAAACCTCTCACAATTATTTTCAATTTAATATTAAAAACATCAACTTACTCACAAAAATGGAAGTTGTCCAGGGTTACACCTATTTTTAAAAAAGGTAGCAGAAATGACGTTACCCAAGTATCGGCCGATCACTATCATTGACAATTTTGCCAAAGTGTTTGAAATCCTTTTACATTCTCTGATCTACGATCATGTATCAACACTATTATCCTGTAGGCAGCATGGCTTTGTCAAGGGCAGATTTATTTTTAAAGACGCAGTTTGTGTCAGAATGTGTTGATAGACAAAGTCAAATGGATTGCTTATACTTTGACTTTTCTAAAGCTTTTGACCGCATAAATCATGATATTCTACTTCAAAAAATAGATGCTTTTGGTTTTTCTGATCCTCTAATCCAGTTATTTTCCTCTTATTTAGACAACCGATATCAATATGTTCAATGCTACGGTCACAAAAAAATTCCCGTTTGAGTGACAATTATGGTGAAGCCATCTCGAATGAGATGACAATTGTTTAAAGTTGTTAAGTGCCTGCCTTAATACAATGGGAATCACCAAATAAATATAAGACTTTCTTGTTTTCATTTAGTATATTCGGTATCGTTGACCTGTAAATGGGTTAGCCTGTTGGTCAACGTTAGATAATAATATTAATAATAATAATAATAAAAAGGGTACGTTCTTAGTTCAGTTATTCAAAACAAATTTTGGAGAGGCCAATGTTGGTGTATATACGAAGGCGTTTGCGGAAAGAAGATTGAAAAAAATAAAAACGATTAATAAAAGTAAAACCTATATTAAAAATATGCGTATCCAAAGTGTGGATTCCGACTGCGGCAAAAATAATATCGTCGATGATGAACAAATGAAAATTGCGGACATAATTATTACCTGAAGTGTACGAAAGAAAAAAATCGGATTTATTAATAAAGCTGTCACAAAGTAACGTAAACGCTATTGAAGAAGCTATACTTGTGGTCAGCGAATGTGGAGTGAATGGAGTAAAAGAAAAGTGCAATCAATTTGGCTCACTGCAAGCAATTTTGGAAAGGTGTGCAAAATGAGGGACGGAACTAACACCGCAAATACTGTTAAAAGTATTGTGCATTCCGAGAAAACTTTAAAGAAAAAATTGTCCCAGTCTATACAATTTGTACTGGCAATGAAGAAAAGGTCAAAGAAAAATTTGAACCTCTAACAAATTTGAAAGTTGTCTCATGTGGTTTATTCACAGATAACGAAAAGAAATTTTTAGGAGCTTCTCCAGATGGGTTAATAAATTCTGATTTATATGCGGCTTGCGATAGAAATATTAAAGAAGCTATTGAAAATAAAATTATTTATTTATTATTGTACAATAAATGCAGAAAATATAATTATTTTGAACCCTAACCACAATTATGTGTATCAGGTGCAGGGTCAACTGCATGTAACTAAAAGAAAATGGTGTTATTTTATCATCTGCACTTACGTAGATTTATAACATTTTTTTATTGAAAGAGATTGAAATAGAAAAATTTTATTTAAATGCCATGCTACCACAAATTATTGCCTCGCGGTGGAGTCCAAAGCAGCAACTCCGAAATATATTGCAAAAAGATTTATAGACGAATTTTAAGTTTTTTTTTGGCAAGTATGAATTGTTGAATTTTCTGCGTTGAAAGGGTATTTGCTTTTTTCTTATTATTTTTATTGTATTATTATTAATGTGATTCTATTGATTGCTTTGTTTAAATTATCCATACTATTGATTACATATTACTTATTATTTACATATTACAGTATTTACATTTATATTTTCCTGTCGTTTAATATTAAAATGCAGAAGTTCAGATTGTAGAGGCAGGGATCTCGGCACTCTATTTACACACAAAACGCTAAATACTCGTAAGGTATTTAAAAGGTGCTCTATTGTGTGGGCCATAAATTACAGCTTACCGCCTCAGCTGATATTTTGGGTTGTCTAACTTACCAAAATTTGCCTCAAATGCATTGTAGTTTTTTTACAATAACTAAAAAAAGCAAAGTTTTAAAAGAAAACGAAAAACGGCGCCTAAAGTAGAAAACAATTCTCTATCACCTCGATATTTTTTAAAAGCACACCGGGTTATAGTTTTCGCTGAAAATCAGCTCTTGTTTCACGCACCTTATTTTCTAATTTAAAAACTGCTACGTTTTTTTTTTAAATACGAAACGCTTTCTTAAACTACTTTATGTCAAGAGCAAGTACATGTATCGCCCTGCTCTTCAACTTAAAATGAAGGCGCAAAATCGGTCGGCGTTTTGTCTTATTTGGGCATCTTTTAATGACTGTGTGGAGAAGATAATAATTGTCGGCATTTGTAAATTACGCTGATTACATTAAGAATTTCTCTGTTTTAGTAAAATCGTTAGCTTAATAGGCAACTGCCTCAGCTCAAAGTATAATTTTAGTTTTAATAATATTAATATCTATAATAATATTAATAATTTTTGAATATATTATTCCTCTAGGTAGACTGTTACAAGTACTTCCCTTTTAACTGTTTAATTAATTATCGTGTTATTGGAAATATTTATTAGAATATTACTTTAAACGAAGTTAGCTTCCACCAACCTAGGAATGTATTAATCCTTTACAAAATTATATATTTAATATTGCCCCGCATGCATGGCGACTTTTAACGTACCTACTACCTACCCTATACACTACTTTAAAAAAGCAATAATTAAGGAGACCGTAGGAGTCATAAATAACAGATCCACTGTAAATAAATATTTCATATATTATGGACAGTATTATAATAGTTATTTCTTTGATTAATGGGAAAAAGCATTATTACAGTACTACGAGTCTGAAAGTTACTGATGATGAGGTCGTTGGACCTCGTCATCTGTTATCACATGAGTTACTGAAGGATGCTTTACCCCGCTTATGACATACATAATCTTATCCACAAATGCCCAAAACTAAAAAAAATCCCATTTAAATTTTTTTATTCAAAATCAAAAACCAAAGAAAATTTTGCAGTTTTATGGCAACCGCTCCAATTTAGTGTAAACAACACGTGAGTTTTTATAAAAAAGAAATCCGTTAATAGTATAATCAGAAACAGAAGGTATCTCTTAAAGTAGAACAAGCTGCTGCAAATTTTATCAGTGGTTCATTAACTGGTGTACATTCAAGAAAATAAAATGAAGTAAAAGAGAAGTTATTATTGCAATTTTTTTAAATTTTATCGAGAATTATAAGTTTATTTAAGTTATGTTACTGATTCAATACATAATTCCCAGATTAATGAAATTTCACTTTACCAAGATTTGGAAATGCTTCATTAGTGGTCATTGTTCAGCTTAATCCGTGTGAAATGAGCGCTGTATGAGATTTTTATAAAGCAGTTGTTGATAAAATAATAAATTGCACCCGTAGTATGAACAAACCTGGTGTTAGTGTTACTTACGAGTACTAAATTAGAAAGTGTGTTTTATGTTTTAGTTTTTTAAACAGACAGTAAGTATCCTCTTGAAAGAAAATGCCAGATTTATTATCCGAAGTACATATATAATCCATCTAAATAATATTGTGTAGATGAAGCACAATTAAATTACAACGACGGCGACGGATACTAACTTTGAAGAAAAATTTTAAAAATGTTATTTCCAAACTTTAAAGTTGGGGGTAATTAGTATACATATATCTGCAAAATATACACATATGTATGTATTTACAATAGTAATAAAATCGTTATCAAAATTAAATTAAAAAAATAAATTATACATTTTCCAGGCATCAATCACAATCTTCTTAATAATCACCTCGCCATGTCAGCAAGGAGTCTATGAGAAATAGAGCTCCACCAATAATTGCCAGCGAAGCTTTTGCTAAACCATAGTCCCTATATTTACCGCTGGCATTTTGGAAATATTCAATATTCAAAGCTCCAGCAGCCACAAAGGTAGCGCAACCAACTAAACAGAAGAAAATGTCAATTTTTTTACTAATACGTTCCGACATTAAATGACCTAAAAATTCATAAAACATTACTATTTCTGATTACTAATGCTCTCAAACTTACCGGCAAAAACACCAACTAGAATAATAACGTAACCTCCAAAGGCAGCTACAGAGAGTGTATTTGTGTTGAAGTCATTTGAAATTTCGCTTTTGGAATGCAGACCAATACATGCTACAGCTATCGCCTGAAAAATAAAAATAATTCAGTTTAATACTGATTTAAAAGTAATTACTTATAGTTTTTTTTATTAATTAGATCACCTCTGCGATTATAAAGCCCTTATTCTAAGTAAGAACTCCAACATTTAACTGCCAATAGAAAAGCTTAAATTTAGGATCCCAATGGGTGATACTAAATCTCACTTTTTCTAGTCGATGTGCCTGATCTTGATCTCTAGGAGATAATAAGCGCATGTCTCCGCGTATAGGATAATTTATTTCATGATATTTAACATGTGAGACTATTACCACTACAATTTAAAATATCTATCAGCATTCACACCAATTTGAGTTTTTCTCCTAATGAATATTGTGATATGCACTCAATCTTTGGAGAGACGCAAATGAATACTGACCAAGCAGCGAACACATACGCTATGCGATACCCTAACAGAAGACATCCGTTTTCCAATGTTTTTAGGGTCACATGAAAGACCTCCACAAAGTTTAGAAGACTTGAGAGAACGAATTTTTCTTGCTACTGAAGCTGTTACAATTAATTGACATGTTGCAGAAAATACCAAACAATTTACGACGACGATACGAGGCTTGTTTGTTGGCTAACGGTAGAGTCTTTTCACATTTGTTATAATTTTGTTTTTAATATCTTTGTAAATACATTTTTGATCTAATATTGCCTTCTCCATTTTTGAACTATCTAAAACTTGAACATTTTACGTGGCAACGAAAATAGTTTCAGTTAAAGTTATTGTTCTCGTCTACGGTGTTGCCTTTTTAACTTTTGCATTTGGAGTCTTTTCTACAAAAGGTGAAGATTTGGAATTATTTTTTCAACGGATTCTGAGATCCTACAACAACAACAACCTTCCGTTAACCACCCTTCCGCGACTTTTGACACACCCGATATATGTATATACAGGGTGTTATTGAAAGGCACGTACAACAAAATTGACAGTTCTTGGCGAATTCTAAGAAATCTTAAAAACTTATTTTGTGTTATCAAAATTATAAGGGGTAAATTCACCCTTATCCAACCTTATTAGACGCTACTGAAGGATAAATAGGTAAAATTATTTTATTTTAGTAAATACTAGCAACTCTAACAATTAAACTTCTGTCAAGATTAAATGTTGCTATAGAAACGATAGATAATCTTTTTATCAGAGGCGTACAACGAATTTGGACATCAATTTTAATAATTTTTATCTCTAAAAGGACAGCACTTTTACCTGAACTTTTTTTAACTTTTAGCACCCTTACTTCGAGACCAATTGCCGATTTTAATTAGTACGTACGTTTCAATAACACGCTGTATATGTATATTTCGTGACACTTATATGACGTCGGTACCGGGGTTTAAGTGTCATTTCTATGACAGCGTGTTTGGGCGGCGTTAATTAGGTACTACTTATACTCCGCCGGAGTATAAATACAACACTTACATTCCGGCGGAGTACAAATAAAAAACGTTTATGTTAAGATCACTGTGGTCATCAACTATAGTAACCATGGCAAGTCAATGCAAGGCAATTTTTTAATAAAGCAAGGAGACATCTTTTCAAAAATGTATTAATCGTTTGAAAATAGAATATTGTATTTCATTTGGAATTTATGTGACTTTATGTGACTCGTATGGACTTAATTAACCTCGCTATTGCTCGGCGTTTACACAGAGGATCACTCAAACTCTTAATAAAATAAATATCTATTATATTACAATAGTGGAGTTTAGGTTAACTTTATGCAACTGTTTTACTAGACAAAAATTGAACGTTATTAACAAGTGAAGTAAAGTGATCATAAGTGATGTAATGTAATGTAACTATGACTACTACTAACACATCTAATGAGGATTTTTTAGGTTAAATCAGCTGTCAATTTGGATTCACGTTATTCGAACTTTTATGTAAAAGCTGCAACTGTGAAATAAAATTTAAGAATCTTATTTGAGTGGAATGCTCGTAACAACAGTACTACCACTCAGGTTAACGCGCTCGTGACCCCTCTCACTCGCTTATAATATAAAATACTATTATTGGGACGCAACATGTCCCAGAAAATATAGCTGACGAAAGCGCTTTTCTGATAAAGTGAAAATAGCTAAAAATTATTCAGTTCTGAGGATTATATTTCGCCCCCGTATTTCTTAATTAAAGATGAAACTATATTCAATTCAATGGTAAACGCCATTTTATGTCGTATATGTTATATTTCCTTGTATCTTGCATTTTGGAAACAATATATCTATGTGTGTTTATCTGTAAAATTTTTATATGTATTTCTTCAATTCTCCATCTTTTTAAATTTTTACCTTATAATCAGCAATATTTTTTTTACAAAATTGGAAATAAAATTAATCTACTTCCTGAGCGTAAGCTAAGCTTCAAATCAATCGGTTTGGCAGTTTCTGATTTAATCAATAAAATAAATTGACTCATTCGTATTTTGAGTCACCCTGTATGAGCAAATGTGAAAAATATAAATGGAATGGTAAATCGCAAGTGTAGACTCATCATATTTTGTACATTATAGAGAGGATTTATCCAGAAAAATTTTGACATGACGTCATACATTTTTTGGGAGATAAGCAAATATATTTTAATTAAAAAGTTATCATGCTTAGAATAACTTTAAAACATTTGCAAGCTTTCAAAGCATTCGGGTTTGAAGACTCAAAATTAAATTGCAAAATGTTGTAATACAATTTTCTTTTTTTTTTCAAAATTCTAGACGTTTTGGGCAAAAACTCAACACGGATACATAAAATGCACGTGTAGAATTATTTTATACAATTTAAGACCTATTTACTATGTACAATTTTGAAATGACATCATTACATTATTTGTGGGGATGATTATACACAGTTTGATTAGCGTTTTACCATCTACATTCTACATGATATTCATAATACATATATAAAATTTGACAATTGGTCCAGTAGTTTCGGAAATTATCTGTCTAACATAAATTGTCACGGACTGTGGACAGACAGACAGACAGACGGAAACGGGAGAAATATGAAGACAACCAGTCGCCCGATGGACTCGATTATGATACATGTTATGTCCTACCTCGTTATCAAACGTGGTAACAAGTGTTCAACCCCCATTTGTATCCAAGGAGCAACGACCTACACCCCGCAATAACCTTCAGACTTACTACGTCATCAACCTAGCAGTGCATCTGTGCACGTACACTCATTTTAGCCGTCGCTCGACTGATCTCCACTTCATCCCCAGATTCCCCGGAACTGGAATTTCATCAGCTTCCCATATTTTTACCAGAGAACACAGAGAAGCGTCATAGTTTAACTCAAATGACGGTTGAGGACTTCTCAATTTATGTTGGTAGCAGTGTTTGTTTCTAACTAGGAATAAAAGTAACTAGAAGAAAATGTCATAATATTTTTAACGACGCATTTTATTTTCGACAAATTCGACACCAGATTTACTACAAGCTGCTTATTGTTTCCTTCACTTTCATTCAGGTTACACGAATTACAATTATAGTGAAGCAAGGTTTTTATTGGCATCGACTATTTAAATTTGGCGGTTGAGGACTCCAATGTCAATACGGGTGGTTTTGCAAAATCAGCCTCTATGTCGCATCTATATTAATATATGTTTTTACCATATAAGATATAAGGACGCGGAACTACCAATTGGTCTACGCACCTTCGCATTTCATTACTATATAAGGGCATACGGTACCACACAAGAAACACGGGTCTATTCCTGTCCAAAACGAAGCTATATAAGGGCGAATTTCCAGCAGGAGCGTTATTCAAGTCATTCGAGTCGTGTTCTCCAGTAAAAAGTCTCAAGTCGTACCGTACGCTGTTCCCGTCTTTATTTTATAAAACATTTTATTTAGTTGACTTGGAAAAGTTTTAGATTTTATTTTATATTTGTTCGGACATAGAAAACTTTGACGTTGTATTTTATACTCGTCCGAAATAGAATAGTTTTATTCGATTCTTATGTAGACATCTTAGTGTTCGTGAAGTCTTGTAATCATATAGTAAATAAAATAAAATAAAAATATTAATTTTTTATTAGAATGGTTCATCCGGATCATTAAATACATACTTCCTCAGCTTACACTAGGGAAGTAAAAATCAAAATTTTCAAACAACATTTTGCAATTTAATTTTGAATCTGCAGAACCGAATGTTTCTAAATTTTGCGGACGTTTTAAGGTTATCGTAAACAGGGTAAATTTTTAGTCAAAATATATTGTTTATCTCTCCCGAAAAAACTGATCACGTCGTCTCAAAATTTTGCCGAATCAATTCTATCGAAAATCTACAAAATGTGATGAGTCTATGCTTGTGAGTTATCACTGCATTGATATGTTTACAATTGCTTACACAGTGACTCAAAAGAACTTATGAATAAGTCAATTTATGTTGTGATTAAATCAGAAATGTCTCACTCCATGTTCCCAACAATTTACGAATATAATACTGTTATTTTAAATATTTCATTACACATTTCTAAAGTGAGATATGTGCCCTTACAAAAATGTGATATCATCACATCACATAATTTTTTCAAGGAAAAACGCATTTGAAACATAGCCGTAGGAATATCTAAAACCAAATTTTATAATTTTGCGAAAAGCTGGATATATTTTATTTTACTTCAATAGCGAGGGAAATTCTGTCGAAATAACCTTCGACCAATTTCTTTATAAAGCAAACGCAATATTGTTTTTATACATGTTATGTGTATTTTTATTGCTCATTATTTGATCGACACTAACAGACAAATTACTTTAGGTAAAGTTGTACTGTTGGAAGAACTAGCAGTGCTTACGAAAAATAATAAAATGAGATATTCACGATTTTTTACTTTCATACAGATAATTCCGTTATCACTTTGCATTACTCATAAATAAGACGACACAGTGAAGTGCATTAATCATAATACATACATAACATAAACTACTAATCTCAACAACCAAAATCATGAATTATTTATCATGAGGTGTTATGTCAGAATTAAAAATAGAAAGTGACATCAAACAATCAAAACAACTTACCAATTCCAAAAATTTAATAATGGACAATCTACTAATTGCCATTGTTAACTGTTTTTGTGAAATATTTTAAACGTCTAGACGGTGCTTTCTAAATGATAGATTTATTGATTTCAACACACAGGCACTGGATGTCTCACTACTCGGAGGTGCGCTGTACGTTCACAGTGGTTGCTGGATAAAAACTGACTCATTCACAAGAATGACCTAACACGGCCTTGTTTTAGATAACCTACTCACGCGCACATGCATTATGAACACTTACTATTCTGAGGTCATCGGCCAAAATAAATGCGTAGGCATATCCATTAATATTTAACAAAAAGTAATACGTACATTTTCTTAATAGCTCCCATGTACAATTTATTAGGTGAAATTAAAATAAAAACTAGGAACTCTTCGATATACATATAAATAGGGTATTGGTATTATGTATTAGTTTCGCATTCAAAATATTCAGGGGTTAAGTGAACTAGAGAGAACTTCCCTGGCTTAATTATTTTTTAAATATAGATGTAATGCAATACTTTTGTCCGTTACTGTACCTACTCTAGGAACTGTTTTCGCAGTAGTATAAGAAATTCTTTGGTTTTTATATTTTTACTTCACGAGCGTAAGCGAAGGAAGTATTGTAATCAAGTCCGTCGACCGACCCTCTTTTTTTACGTTTTCTCGATCTTTCATGACCCCTACAAGACGAAGAAATAGGTCTCCCGTTTCCATCTGTCTCTCTGATAGTCTGTCTATTCGTCTGTCTGCCGTCCCGGATTTTTACTAAACGGATAATCTCCGAAAGTATTGGGTGGATTGTTGTCAAATTTTGTATTTATATTAGGAATATCATGTAGATTGTAAAACGCTAACCAAAATTTCTCTAATTGTCCCGACCAATAATGTGATAATGTCATTTCAAAATTTTACGTAGTAAATGAACTTTAAATTGTATAAAATAACATAGTCTTACACATGTATTTTATTACACCGTGTTTAGTTTTTACACGAGACGTCCAGATTTTTGGAAAAAAATAAATACAAAATTTGATGCCGTCACCTCAAAATTTTACCAAATAAATCCTGCCTAAAATGTCCAAAATATGGTGAGTCTATACTTGTGATTTATCATTCCATTTATATTTTTTGGATTTGCTTATATAGGGTGACTAAAAAAATTAATGAATGCGTGAATTGATTTTATTGATTTAATCAGGAACTGCAAAACCGAATGCTTTGAAATCTTGGAGATGTTCTAAAATTATCATAAGCGTGGTAAATTTTTGATCAAAATGTATTTGCTTATCCCCCCTAAAAAAATAATGACGTCACCTCAAGATATTGCTAAATAAATCTTAAATGTGCAAAATACGATGTGATTTATCACTAAATTAATATTTTTTAGATTTGCTTATGCAGGTTGAATAAAAAAATTAATGAATTAGTCAATTTATTTTATTGAATAAATCAATAATTCTCTTCAAAACAGATATTCTTTAATATTCTCCTGACGAAGGTCATATAGATCATGGCATCGGCGGGCTCCACAAATTCCAAATATTAATGCAACCTAAAAAGTTATAACCTCTTGATATACATAAAACAAATGCGAATGGTTTATCTACCTTCATCATAAGAAATTTTTCATCAGGAGCACGCTTTAGAAAATGCATGATTTCTTCATAACTTCAAGCTTTTGATATTTACTTCCCGAGCGTAAACGAAGGAAGTATTGTAATCGAGTCCATCGGACGAAAAGCCACTTTTATGTTTTCTCGACATTTCATGACCCCGAAAGTACGAAAAAAGTAGTCTCCCGTTTCCGTCTGTCTGTCTGTATCCATATTCATGTTAGACACGTAATCTCCGAAACTGCTGGACCGATTGTTGTCAAATTTTGCATGTATGTTAGAAATATCATGTAGATGGTTAATTTGGCTAATCAATACCATCAACAATTTGATGACGTCATTTCAATGAATGGTATTCTAAAATGATTTGAATGTTGCTCATATACTTGTAGTGTACTAATCTACTTTCAGTTTTTCCGCTAAACGTTCAAATTTTTGCAAAAAACATTTGCAAGGTATAATGACGTTTTATTCCCGACACGATTTGAACGTCTCCGTGACGCAGTGGTTGTATCGGAGATAATAGTGACCTGCACTACTGCGATTGTGGTTCGATGCCGAACTTGGCCTTTTCCTTTTTTTTTCTTGCATTGGTATAACGCTGTGACAACTTTTTTTATGCTATGACTAGAATTATAAATCTTGATCACAAATTTTTATTGGTCAAATTAAGAACGAGTCACCTCATTTTCTCGAAAATGTGAAGAATACGCACGTCTTTATATAATAATTTGTTGAATTAATAATTTTATTACTATCTTGAGAAGATAAAGTCACTGAAATCAAACTAACTTCTACATGACATTCTTTCGATGTATAAACATAAATAAATATTTGACCTTCAGACTGATGTTACCTACTACTAAAGGACAAGGGGTGTTATTTATGCCCCTGGTTTTTACTTTACAGCCGTTATGACAAACGAAAATCCGAACATCAAATTTTATAATTTTTTTGAAGAGCTGAAATTGTCGAATTATGCTTATAGCCTTCGACCATTTTTTTTATCAAATTAAAAGCCTTAATTTGATAAAAAAATCTTCTTTAGATTTGCTTATACTAGCTGACCCCGTGAACTTCGTTTCACCTACAATTTAATTTTGAATCTGCAAAACCGAATGCGTTGAAATTTTGCAGATGTTTTAAACATATGATAAGCATAATAAATTTTTATTCAAAATATATTTACTTATTCCCTCCAAAAAATTGATGACGTCAGCCCAAAATTTTGCCAAATGAATCCTATCTAAAATGTCCAAAATAGGATGAGACTATATTTGTGATTTATCATTCCATTCATATTTTTTAGTTTTGTTTATAGGGGGTGTCTCAAAAAAATTAATCACTGAGTCAATTTATTTTATTGATTGAATTAAGAATTGCAAAACTGAATTTTGTAATATTGCAGACGTTTTGAAGTTACTGTTTGACATGGTAGGTTTTTAATCAAAATATATCTGTTTATCAAGCCCAAAAACTTGATGACGTCATCTCAAGATTTTGCCGAATAAATTCTATCTAAAATGTGCAAAATATCATCAGTATATTTTCGTAATTTATCACTGCATTCATATTTTTTAGATTTGCTTTTACAGTGACTCAAAAAAATGTATGGATCAGTCAGTTCATTTTAGAGAATAACTCAAGTTGCAGAAATGAATACTTTGAGATCTTGCAGACGTTTTTTTAAAGTTATTGTAAGCATGGTAAATTGTTAAGAATAGTTATTTATTCCCCCCAAAAAATTGATGGAAGGGCTTACTCGATTTTCGCAGATAATTTTGGGAATACAATACAGTTATTTTTAGTATTACACTGCACCAAGGTGGTATACGTGTTGGTCGTAAATGTTGATTAGGTGATCACAAATTTGTGTGAAGAAAAGACTCAACTCGAAAATGCTGAATATGTTTCATTATACTTTTGGTGAGAAGGAAGTTCTGTCGAAACAACGCTCGATCAATTTTTTGACAATGGTTGATATAAATAAAACTCAGTAGATACTCATACTCGAAATACGAAGTATCTACTCGAATATCAAATCAAAATATTTCTAGTTTTTCTAGATGATGCAAATAGGTAACATTTGATGCTCAAGTAGCATCTCGATACAACAAAAAAGGAAAACAGTGACAGTATTCAACCATCAAGGCAAAAATCGAGTCACCAAAATATAAGTTAGTATGGGGTAGACACCTTGAGATGGGAATCTCTATGGCCAGTGTTAGAAAAAACCCACTGCATAATTTATGCATAAATAAAAGTTAATTACCTGAAAAGTTTTCGATATTCCCGATCCTAATGTGTTTTTCAAACTGAATGCGCCTTTTGACGACGTTCCACGTTCATGAAACCCAGTAAACACAGTTACGTCGTAGCGATGTTAATGCCACTTAACTCTGTCTACGATCTTATTACCTGATCCCAAACTGCGTCCATTTGCTTTCCCTGTGCTATGTAATGTAATCAACAGTCACCCATGCTTGTGACATACTGGTGATATCCACATTGTTTCAGACTAGAGACGTGCTCGCTGGTGCATCATAACGTTGTGTTAGTATGTCGCTAGATTCTCTATATTTTGATGTATCAGTTACGTTTTATTTTAAACGTCAATATAACGTATTAAATGGACATAGATGTTACGTATACAGGGTGCCGCATCCAAGTCTGGATATAGGGAATTAACATGGGAATTGGTTTTTATTTTATGATATCTCCCCAGATCACTTTAAAGCTATTATTGAGTGATGCTTTTGTGGAGGTCGAAGAGGGCTATCGGCCAGTATTTTTTTCAAATCGTTGCATCGCGCTCATTCACTGTAAAAAGGTTTTAAAAACCGTATTTTGAAATTCGCGCCCGATCCGATTTGTCGCGAAATGTTCCGTCGCACTGTCGAAGTTCGGCGATCGCGTGTTTGAAATAGCCATGCAAAATCCAAATGTCAAAATGAAATTAGAAATTTTTCTCAGAAATCAACGAACAACTCAAACTGGATTATTTTATCCAGTGTGGATTATTGTAGGACAAATTAAACGGAATAAATGCACAAATTGATCCATTCATTCGTCATAGTGCGCGACCCCGTTAAACGAGCCATCTCGGAACTACACTCAGACCGTATCCAAAAAGCCCGAGATGAAGACTTCGAGCAGCTGGTCTTCCTCAAAACCCCATCGGCAGCATTTTGACATGTACCGGGAGCCCTCAAGCTAGGAATGTACTCGCGCTGCCTCACTCAGTTAATCACTGAACGACTCAAATTGAATTATTTTATCCAATATGACGATTATTGTAGGTCCATTTAAACGGAATAGATGCACAAACTGCACAAAATATTTTATTAGGTTATGCTGCTGGTGCTGGTCGAGTCTTTATTACTAAAATCTCATTAAAATGTCATGTTCTACTGCGATTAGATGAAAATACGAGGGCCCGCTTTTCTTATTGTGTGATGATAAGATTTACCATCAAAACAGCTGGCGCTTTTGAAGAGAACCTTTTAATGAAGCACTACAAATAACAAAACTTAACAATTGTTGATGAATGAAGTAATGCAATATTGTACGAA